GACCAGTTGGAAGAGCAGTGCCCAGCTGGGCCCCATCTGCAAATGGGACCCCAGGATCTAAGCCAGGGAGCCCAGGAAAGAGATGTGCATAGCATTTGTTTTAGAGTCTTGGAGCTGCAGAGTTTAGGGCTAAGGGCCAGTTTGTAAATGCCAGGCAAAGTGTGCCAAAGTCTTTGTCTTGTCCACAGAGTGGTCTACCTTCTAGGACAGTAACAAAAGCCTGCTGGCATATCCATGTCCTTCTAAAGCTGACCAGTTGGAGCCCTGGCAGGCTAGCAAGCCACCAACCACCAGCCTGGAGCTCCCTCCTGTCCAGTCTCCATACAGGCAGACAGGAGAGAGGATGGCTCTCCCTCTGAACTTCCCAGAAATCCCTGCAGTGTCTCCTCAGGCAGCAAATCTCCAGTCACTTCTCTGGCCTCTTGCCCCTTGTCCCATAGGTCCTTTGAGTCACCTGCCAACGATTTCCTCTTCAGAGGATGAAGGTGGGTGGCTGAGAGGTTTTGCATAAAAAAGGAAAATGTCTCAGGAGCCAGGAGAGTCCAGGCTAAATTAGGAACAGGACTTAGGGACGTGGGTTGTTTTTTTTTTTTTTCTCCAGCAATTCCCTCGGGGAGCCATCTCTGTTCTTAGTCAGTGTGTTACCTGCTGTTCTGAAGCTCGCACTTGACATCCAGTACTGACTAGGGCTAAGCAGAGATAGGGAGGGAGGAAGATCAGGTCCCCGCCCACCCCCATAAGCCCCTCATACCTTGAGGAAATCAGGAGGCTTCGTAGAATGTAATAATCCAAGGCGATGGGTGGCTGATCTTGCTGTAGAATATTGCAACACCTAGGCTTTCAAATGAAAAGGATTTTGCTGTGGCTGGTGGCCCATGCCTATAACACTAGCTTTTTAGGAGACTGAGGATTGTGGTTCAAAACCAGCCTGGGAAAGGCAATCGAAAGGAGTCAAATTTCCAATTAACCATCAGAGGGCCAGAAGCAGAGCTGTGGCTTAGGTGGTAGGTAAAGTAGCTTTGAGTGAAAAAGCTCAAGGACAGTGCCAAAGCCCTGAGTTCAAGCTCCAGGAGAGAGAAGGCAGGGGGGGAGAGGTGGAGATGGGGAGAGGTAATGGGTATTGGGCATGAAGGCCAGGCTGGTGTGAGGTAGCTACTGCACCCAATTCATAGAGCTCAAGTTCATAGAGCCCCTGCTCCTGGGCTGGGGAGGGAGGGTGCTTGGTGCTCTGTTTCCTGGAGGTGGGACCAAGGGCTCTGGGATGCAAACACACAGATGTTTATAGAACTCAACAGCACACAGTTTAAGCCATTAGAACAAAGGCCAGACTATGGAGGAGAATGGACACTCTACATGAGGTTAACACAGGACACTGGGCTGTGGCAGCCAGCTGGCCTTCCCCTTTGCCCAGGGACCATCTCTGTCTTCCGGCATTGGTTTCATGGTAGGGGGTGAGGGGTAGGAGTGGGGATGAGGAGGGAGATCCACTGCTAGAACTGCTGCCTCACAGCTTGCCTGTCCCAACCCCCTCCTCTCCAGGCCTGAACTCCCCTTCCAGGTCTGCATGTACTCCTCCTAGCCTCTGACCTCTTTTCCCACAACTCCAGCAAGACCTCGCCATGATGTTGTGAGTTGATTGGAAGTCCTAACCACTGGCGCTTGTGAATGTGTCTGTTTGGAAATAGAATCCTTGCAGACATAATCTACTTCAAACGAGGTCATATCAGATAAGGATGGGCCTCAGTCCAACCACGGGTGTCCATATATGATGAGGGAAACTTGGACTGAGAGTCTGAAGTGACACTGCCACCAGCCAAAGAACACTAAGAACTGTCAGCTGTCCCCAGGAGCTAGGAAGAAGCCAGGAGAGTCCTCCTCCCCCTCCCCCCAACCCCAAGAGCCCTCAGCAACAGCTTGGCCTTTTGTCACCTTGATGTCAGACTTGTCACCTCCAGAATTGTGACACAAGGAAATTTTCCTTTAAGTCCCTTTTGTCTGTGGCATTTTGTTAGGAGAATAACCTTATTGAACTCACAGGAACTTTTCATCTGTCACTTTGGGTATCCGTCTCTTTGGCTCTTGTCCTGACTCTTTGGCCTGAGTCCTGTGTCCTGTCCTGGGGTCACTTCTGCATTTGTTCCATCCCCTACATGCCTGCTCATGCATGTATTGGATCTCACTAAGGCCATGTCTCTAAGTCTCTGGCTGGGGCTTTGGAGCTGTTCTTGGAGGGGGGTCACTGGAGTGTGGGTACATGTGTGGGCTATATCTCTTGTTTTTCTTACTGTGGAGCTCAGAGACACCAGTGTGTGGGGTAGGAGTGCTGCGTACTGAGCTGGGTTTGAGTTTTCATTCCTAGCACTCTTTTGTTCTTTATGCCAGTTCTGGGGCTAGAACTTGGGGCCTGGGTACTGCTCCTGAGCTTCTGTGTTCAAGGCTAGCACTCTACAATTTGAGCCACAACTTTTTTGGTGGTTAGAGGTAAGAGTCTCACAGGACTTTCCCGCCTGGGCTGGCTTTGAACTGCAATCCTCAGACCTACCTCAGTCTCCTGAGTAGCCAGGATTACAGGTGTGAGCTACTGGTGCCTGGCTCTTACCTTATTTGTGTCTCTAGGGTTAGTTATTCAGGATTTCTGACTCTCCATGTTTTCTGTAAAGTGGAGTTTCAGAAGACTCTATTAATCTCCCCTCCTGTGCAGGAGCCTGAGGTGAGAATAGAAGCATAAATCACAAGATTAATGGAAGAGGTTGTTGGAAATAAACCCTGGAAGGGGGCTGGGGATGCGGCTTAGTGGTAGAGTGCTAGCTTCGAGCAAAAGGGAGTTCAGGGACAGTGCTCAAGCCCTGAATTCAAGCCCTGGGATTGGCAAAAACAAACAAAAACTGGAAAGAAATGAATCACAAGCGGCTGTGAACTAGCCCATTTTCTCTAGGTGCCAAAGCCTTCTGGGACCCCCTTTCTGCCCAGTGGATGCTAAGGGTGGCCTGTGTGTTGTGTGGTCCACATGTTGTAACGAAATGCAACCATCATGGGTCTTTCTGATCCTAGGAGAGGCTTCATTGGTTCCAATGACTTCATTTTCCTCCAGAGAGGAACTCAAATATCTGGTGCTACCAATGCCAAGCTGTTTTCTTCTATGGCTTTTTTTTTTCTTTTTTGGTGGGTGCTGGAGTTTGAATCCAGCTCCTTCATTCGAGGCTAGTGCTTTACCACTTGAGTCATAGCTCCACTTCTGACTCTTTTTTTTTGGCAGTTAATTGGTGGCAAGAGTCTTATGGACTTTCCTGCCTGATCTGCCTTTGAACTACCCTCAGCTTCCTGAGTAGCTAGGATTACAGGTGTGAGCCACCGATGTCCAGCTATGACCCCGTTTTTTAAAAGTAGGAGTTTGGGTAGGTTGGGAGGCAGAGCAAAAATGGAAGGAGGCTGAGACAGAATGGCCTCCTCCAGCTGCAGTTCCTCCAGCTCCCTCTAGCTGCCCAGCCCTGGCATCGGCCACTAGGGGGCACCCTCGGCCACAGACTGCTTCCTCGCCCTGATGGAAAGGAAAAGCCAGGCAGCAGGTGGCAGTGTCCTTTTGGGACCTGAGGAAGGAAGAAGTTCAGGTACACAGAGAGGAAGAACATAAATAAACCTCTCTCCTGCACTGGATATTGATGAAAGAGAACTATGCAACTCATGGGTGGAGATGGGAGGGAGTAGGAAGCAATGAGGGAACAGATGACACTGTACGAAAGGAAATGTACTTATTACCTGATGTTTGTAAATGTAACCCTGCTGTATATCACCTTTAAAATAATAAGTTAAAAAAACAATCCCTCTTCCTTTGTGGGCTAGGGATTGAACCCAGGACCTAAAGCACGCTAGCTAGTCAAAGGTTCTACCACTGAGCCGTATCCCAGCCCAGGAGAGCTTTTAAGAATAACGGTGACTCACAAAGGGTGTTCTACGACAAAGGGTGTTCTACGAGCTAAGGAGAGGTACATTTTCAAAAGCCCCCCTCTTTTTAATTTTTAAGTAGGTGGGCAATTTCCCTTGTCCTTTGGATATGAGAGAATTGGAATGAAATCAGGTTAGTCATGGAACCACGGGCTCAAGGCAACTATGTGAACAGAATCTTTGCTGTGCGCGTGTGCGCACACACACACTGAGTCTCGGCACCAGCAAAGGCCAATCTGCTGTTTCTCTGGGAGGGTGGTAAGTGGTGGCAGCTGTGGGAAGGTGGCACTCTTTAGAGGGAACAGCCAAGAATGAGTAGTCCCGGGGAGGGAAGGGTATTTAGCCTGAGGGCACCAGAAGAGGTTTCTCAGGGCTCTTCTCTACTTATCTTTCAGAGGGTCCCTCCAGCCTGCTCCCACAGTACAGTACCAGAGAGAATAGGAATATAGATTTTAATCATTGTGCTGCTGCTACTAACCCGAGTGCATATGAATCCATCCTTGGTGGATTTGGATGCCACAGTGTAAATGAGGTTTCACACAGGAACACTCTGGGGGCCATGGGGGACAAAGAGAGCCAGGCCTCTGGTGGGAGCAGGTGGCAGAAGGCAAAATGCAAAGGGAAGGGTTGGAGAAGCAGACACGGGGCTGCTGCTTCCCCTCCCTGTCACCACATGCTCAGCCCTGGTCCTCCCTGCCAAGGCCGCTGGCAGGGAGAGGCCGTTGTCCCCCCGACTCCCTTCTGTCTGCAGCGGGGCCTCACTTCAAGTCAATTTCTGCTGGGTCAATGGGGCCCGGGCCAGGCCCACCACCAAATGTGGAAAGGATGGAGGTCAAAGAGACACACAGGGTTTGGGGCTCTCTTATCGTTCCCCACTGTTCATCCCAAGAGACTCTCAAACTAGTTCAGAACAGGGGAAGGACCTCCTCTTGGGGGTAACGAGAGAGGTGGAACTCCTGGAGGAGCAGGAAGGGACTAGTCCTGTGTTTTTCTGAGCCTGAGCACTGAGCAAGGACGGTACACAAGAGACAGTTGGGCTCCTGCTGGAGTCTTCTGCCCTTCTTCTCCTCTTCTGGGATTGGTTGTATTAAGGGTCGAAGGAGGTCACGGAGAGCCCCAGAGCCTGACCCTGCTGGCTGCGAGGAGTTGACAAGCCAGGAAATAGGTCAACTGCTTTGGCAAGGCCATTCCTTGTCAGCAGTGAAGGAGAGAGATTCCAGGGCGTAGACGCTGGGCTGCGGATGGCTACGAGTCGGAGACACACAGGGCCTCCACGGCGTCGCTCAGGCCCTGCGTGACGCCCCCCACGGCCAGGAGGCAGTTCTTGATGACGATGCTGGAGCAGGCACAGCGGGGTGTGGGCATGGCAGGGAGCGCCTCCCATCGGTTCCTCCCTGGGTGGAATGCTTCCGCTGTCTCCAGGACAGTGGGTTGGTTCCCTAAAAGCACCAAGGGAATCACAGCTTACCCAGGAGTCCAGTCACCAATTTGAGCCTCACAATTACCCCTGCTCCCCCCCGCCAGCCCCACACCACACACACACCTCTAGCCCTGGGACCATCAGTAAATCTGGCCGCTCGAATGTGCTCAGCTACTGGATTGCTTCTCCTGGTCCTGGGCCAATGGCTCCTGCCAGGCAGCACCTTTGTCCCTCCTACTTCCTTTTAGTCTTTCCATCTCCTTGAGAGACAGCTGGATGTCTCCATCCCTGTTTTACATCTGGAAGTCTCTAGGGCACTACTATGTCTTTCCTGTGTCACACATACGCACACACACAGAACTACATGGGTTTGCTCATATGGTCTTTGAAACGTGAATAAAAGGGGGTATTCTATGGTTCTCAGGAGCCCAGCTGCCTGTATCTCTGCCTGATGACACACATTTTTGGTGTTTGTTTATTTGTTTTCCTTGGTGTCCATCCTGGGGTTGGAACTCAGAGCCTGAGCACTAGCCTTAAGCTTTTGTGCTCAAGGTTAGTGCTCTACCTCTTGAGACGCACCTCCACTTCCAGCTTTTTTTTTTGCTGGTTAATTGGAGAGAAGAGTCTCATGGACTTTCCTGCTCAGGCTAGCTTTAAACCTTAATCCTCAGATCTCAGCCTCTTGGGTTGTTAAGATTATAGGTATGTGAGCTACCAGCACCTGGCTTGACATAGGTTTTTTTTCCCTCCACAATACTAGTGGTCTGTGGGAGGCTGGTGCATCAAATCCAGGATTCATTTAGGCTTTATTTGATCAGATGCTTTCCTGGCCTCAAACAGAGCTGGGTCTCCAAGGAAAAGACGGCACAGAGAAGGTCGAGAGCTGAACCCCTCTGCACTTTGCCTCCAATCATTCCCAGTTATCAGCACGTCCCTTATTCTCGGTGGGCCTCAGTTTCTCTGCTGCAAGAGGATAGAAGGAGCACATCTGGGGCTATAGGCAGATAGGTAAAGTTCCGGCTGGGAGGAAGGCAGTGTCTTGAATTCTGAGTGTACACGGAGTCAGTTCTATTTGCTGCTCATGCAGAGTGCCAAGAGTCCACCTCGCACCATGTCCACTACCCATTCCCGCCTGGATGCCCCGTCCTTACCAAGTCCCCCTGCCACTACGATCCGGCCACTCAGAGAGCCAGCCACAAAGTCGGCCCGTCTCTTCTTGAGGAAGAAGGAGCGCTCCATCTTTAGCCATCCTCCTACAAGCCATGGGTAATGGCAGAATGGAAAATTAAAAAAAAAAAACAACAAAAAACAGGTGCTGGTCATTACTACCAAATATGAAGGAGTCCCAAATGGCTTTCACCCTGGGCTGCGGCCCCTCGTGTTCACCCCTGTGCTCAGGGAACCCAGAGCGCCCCCTGCAGCTGGGGATGGCCCCCTGCCATCCCCACTTGTTACAGTGGAAGACAACCCTGTCAGAGATTCCTGCTGTCCTTGATTCTCCCTCTCTAAACTGGAGGGAAGACTGAGGGGAGCCATGAGGGTGAGAGTCAGGGGTTCCTTCTATTTCCCCATCAGTAAAAGCAGAATCTCTCCCTGACCTGGTCCTGAACAGACATCAGTAAGGAAAGAAACAATAGGTAGAAAAACCTTTGCTGAAAACAACCAACCAGGCCAAAGAGAAGCCTGGAGAGATGAAAGAATTGCATCTCCGAAGTATCCATGAGTGCAGCGGAGAGCTCAGACCTGGGACTGCACCCAGCTGCACCCACTGCACCCAGTGGCCCTGGGATGATGGACAGGGCAGGAGATTTGGGGATTAGCCAGAAGGAAGACAAGCAGCCAGCTTTCACAGGGGATCAGGGCAAGGGTTGGTCCCCGGCTCACCCTGCTCCATGTCAAACACATCCATCGTCCGAAGGAACTTGGGTTGCCGATACAGCCGACCCTGCCGCAGGCCTCCCAGGCTGTACAAGTGGTTGTCCAGGGTCACGAAGCTGGAGAAGGCCCGCTTGCAGGGAATGTTGGGGAACTTGGTCCACGAGCGAGTCTCGATGTCAAAGACCTCAAAGGCATTGACCGCATACTTGGACTGCCGTCCCCCTGGAAGCCAGGGTGGAGGGCAGGGTGGGCAGAAGAGTCGTCTCTGAGGATGGGGCGGGCTTTCCCTTTCTGCCTGTCCCAGTCACACAGGAAGCTCCCTAAGGGGTGTGGCAGCGTGATTCTCCCCTAGTGCCAAGGAGATGCCCAGCCACAGGTATTTCTTCTAAGGGAACTGACCAAAGGGAGAAAGGGAGAAACGTACAACAGTGGGCTGGGAATGTGGCTTAGTGATAGATTGCTTGCTTAGCATGCACAAAAGCCCTGGGTTCAATTTCTGAATACCACATAAACAGGAAAAGCCGGAAGTGGCACTGTGGCTCAAGTGGTAGAGTGCTAGCCTTGAGCAAACGAAGCTCAGGGGCAGTGCCCAACCCCTGAGTTCAAGCCCCAGGACTGGCGGGGGGGGGTGGGGGTGGGGGGTGGGGGGGGCGAGTACAACAGATAACCCGTCCTTACCTAGCACATAGATCTTGGAGCCTCGGAGGAAGGAGGTGGCGGCATATCTTGGGGTGGGCATGGGTGCTAGTGACACCCACATGTCCTTGAGCATGTCATAGTGCTGGAGGTGGTTGTGTGGACGGAGGTCCAGGCCCATCCCGCCTGCAGCATATACTCGGTAATCTAAAAAGAAAGGACATCGCCATCCCCAGCTCAGCTTAGAGGCATGAGGAGTCACATCTCTCACCAGGGCCAGGCCAAGTGCCCAGTCACTGCTCTACCAGTTGAACCACAGTTATGTCAGTGGGGGGGGGGGGGGGGACACACTCAAGGTCTCTGTGGTGGCTGAGCCTGATTCTTCCTGAAGCCATGGCAGAACTGCTAGCAAAGCCCAAGTCACTAAGGCTGTCCTGGAGGTGGGCAGTAGTTGATGCCTAGGACTGAACAACCCCTTTTTAGGTCTTGTCCTTCTACTGACCTCCTGCCTAGACAGCTTGAGGGGAAGCTGCTGTGGCGAGGTTTTCTCCTGATGACCTCTGGGAGTGGCCTGTCCTTGGGACTTCCAGACTGACACTCTTCAGAGACAGCATGGATCTTTAAAACACAGTCAGGATGGGTGCTGGTAGCTCACTGGGCACTGGTGGCTCATGCCAGTAATTCTAGCTACTCAGGATCTGAGGATCATGGTTTGAAGCCAGACTGGGCAGGAAAACCCAGGAGACTCTTTATCTCCAATTAACCACCAGAAAACCAGAAGTGGAGCTGTGGCTCAAAGTGGTAGAATGTTAGCCTTGAGCAAAAAGAGCTCAGGGACAGCGCCCAGACCCTGAGTTCAAGCCCTACAACTGACAAAACAAACCAAACAACACAGCCCTGCTGTCATTGATCTTGTAAGATACCACATGCCTCTGGATCTTCCTTAGACACTTCTATTGTGTGTGTGTGTGTGTGTGTGTGTGTGTATAAGGGAGGGTGCCATCCTCCTTCACAGGTGATGGCCTATGAAGTCAGGAGACACCTGTGCTAAATGGGCTAGGGCCAGGGCTGAATGAGGGCAAGGTTTGTGGTGGGGAGACCTGGCTTCTTCAGGAAACACAGTTCAATGGGGAACTGGGCCTTGATCAAGGCCTCCCATTTCCACTGCTCCTGCCTGCCCAGTACCTCTACTTTCTAAGGTTACTAATGAGTCATCAGTACTATTTCCTTCTACTTCCCAGACTTTCTGACTAAGGCTGGGAGGTGGGCTTCCTACATGAGTAAGTCATCTAACACAAGTCCCATCCTCCCTTCCCCACCTGAGCTACCTTCCTCCTGGAAAGCCTCCTACCCACTCCACATCCTGTAGCACTTCCGGGCTCAATCCTGACTCATCCTCTTGCATTCACCTGGGTGTCTGAATGGAGATACTGGGCCCTGAGAGCCACTCTGGTGTCTCCTGAGAGATGGTAGCTCCATTGTCCTGCTCCTGCTTGCCACGTTCCTGAAATCCTGTTTCTCTCAATGTATTATAGGTCGGTTGCAGTCTCAGAATCCGTGCCCTGCCTGGCATGGAAATGCAGATGAGCCCAACTGTTGAACCGATTTGAAGCCATAATTAGGTGCACAGATGTGATCATTGCTTAATAGCTTTGTGACCTTGAGCCAGTGACTTAACTTTTCTAGGCCTCACACTGCTTCATTCTAAAATGAGGATGAACATAGCATGTTGGATAGGTGGTAAGGTTCAAAGATAAAGGACCAAGGGTAAGGACTCAATACATGTTCTTAACTTGTCAGCACCATTTCTTGAGGCGATAGAGGGCACTTGTTCTCTCTTTCTGGCCCTGTGGGCTTCAGAGCCTTCCATCCTTTCTTCCTGGGAGCTTAGGGAAACCCCACTGGCTGCCCTGCTGTAGGGGATTCTGGGCAAGAACTTCTCTCTAGACACTGTTCTTGGTCAGAACGGCCTTCTGAAACCACAGACCAGAACTTCTCCCTCTCTTTCCTCCTTGGAGTCTAGCACTGTGCTAGAGACTGAGCAGTTGGTAAAGAAATGTTGACTGCTGGGTGCTGGTGGCTCACATTTGTAATCCTAGCTATACAGGAGGCTGAGATCTGAGGATGGAGGCCCAAAGCCAGCCAGGGCAGGAAAGTCTGTGAGACTTTTTTTAGTATATGTGCTGCCCAAGCGAGCACTGGGAGATTCTTATCTGCAGTGAACCACCAGAAAGTTGGAAGTGGCACTGTGGCTCAAAGTGGTCGAGTGCTAGCCTTGAATGAACAAGCTTAGGGATAGCATTCAGGCCCAGAGTTCAAGCCCCACAACCAACAACAACAAAAAAAAAACAAAAAAAAAAGGGAAGAAAGAAATGTTGGCTTCTGATCTAGGCCTGACAGGTAGATGGGATGACTGAGAAAAAGAAGGAGGGAAAGATGAGGAAAAATATGGGGGGGGGTGTCACCCTCACCCTCTACTGAATACCTGCGCTGCTCTGGCAAGCATGTGAACTTGGGATCTCCTAACTCTCATTAGACCATTTCCCATAAAGCTGAGTCTTAGTAAAAATTGCATTAGATACCCCTCCCACACCCCACCATGCCTCTGGGCTGTATTAGGCTCAAAAAGAATGAACTGAGGGACTCTGAGGAAGTGAAATGAAGATCTTAAATCCACACAGTTGGGAAGCTAATGCCTGGGAGCCTAGTGAACCTGGATAAAGAACGAGCTATGGGAACACAACACTGAACATTCTGATCTCCACTTGCACCTCTGAGTCTGGGAGGCAGAAGGGAAAGAGGGGAAGGAAGGTGGGGAGAAAGACTTGGAGCCAGGCGCTGGTGGCTCAGGCCTATAATCCCAGCTACTCAAAAGGCTGAGTTCTGAGAGCCATGATTCTAAATCAGCCTGAGCAGGAATGTCTGTAAGATGCTTATCTCCAATTACCCAGCAAAAAAAAGAAGCGGGAAGTGGAGCTGTGGCTCCAGTGGTAGAGCACCACCGTCCTTGAGCAAAAGCTCAGGGACAGCACCAGAGCCTTGAGTTCAAGCCTCAGTACAGACAGACAGACAGACACACAAACACATACATACATACACACACACACACACACACACACACAGTGCTGAAATCAGGTCCCACAGACCCCTAGGGAGGCTCAGTGAGCGGGCAAGGATGGAGTGAACCCCCTCAGGACTCCAGGTTAAGAGTCTGGTGGTGAAACCTGTGGGTCTCCGTGGATGGGGTGTGGTGGGTGGGAGGCGTGGTCTTTCCACCCAAGGATGGGGGACCCGGGTCTGCACCTACCCCACGACGCACACCCGACACCTCGACCCTCCGCTCCAGCAGTGACCTGCCCAGCTTGCTGGGGGGGGGGGGGGCGGGGGTGTTCCATGGAATTCCGACACTTGGCGGCTCAACCTCCAATTCCCCATCAGTGGATCTCATGGCGAGGATCAGATGGGAGCAGGGGCATAATCAGGGTGGGTTCCCACCCGTTATCTCCGGGGAGGGGCCCTCTCCCCTCTCCGTGGCCACCCTCCCCCCACCCCCCCACCCCGGCCCCGGCCCCACTCGCCTTTGGCCGTGACCGAGATGCCCATGGCCGCCTCTCGCAGCGTGCTCCTCTTCTTCCACTTGCCCTCGTCGATGTGGTACATCTCCACGACCTTCAGGGGCAGCTGGTTGGTGCCCACGCCCCCGATCACCATGATGCGCTTCCCCAGGGCGGTGACGGCCACGCCGGCGCGGGCGGTGGGCAGGGGCGGCAGGGCGGTCCAGCGGTCGGCCTCGGGCGAGTAGACTTCAAAGCAGTCCACGGGGACGCCGCCGTCGTCGCAGCCCCCGATGGCGTACACCTGCCCCCCGCTCTCCAGCAGGGCGCAGTAGACGCGGCGGCGGGGCAGCGGCGCCAGGCTCTTCCAGTGGAAGTCCTTGACGCTCGGCACTTCCATGGCAGCGCGGGGGTCCGGGCAGGCTCGCCCCGGCGGGGCGGAGGGGGACAGGGGGCGCTCTGCCCGCTAGTGGGCGCCGCGGGTCCCCGCGCCGCCCCGCGCCGCCTCCATGTCGCCCCGGGGGCGGCGGCTCCCGCCCGACGCCGGCCAGCGCCTCACCGTCCCTCGGGTCTCGGCGGTCCCGGCGGCGTCCACGCCCGGCCCTGCGGGAGAAAGCGGGCGAATCAAGGGCAGCCCCGGGGGGAGCGGCCGGGGAGACTCCGCGGCCCCCACGCCCCGCCGCCGGCAACTTCCAGAGCCCCCCACTCCCGCCCTTCCTCCCAGATCCCCGGCCCCGCCCGGGCCCAGCGCGCGGGCCGGGTGGTCTGGAGGGCGATCGGGGACACCCCCGGCACGGGGCTCCCCGGGGCGAAGGCAGGCGGGAACGAGCCTCCCCGCCCCCACCCCCCTCCACGCCGCGTCTCCCCCGCAATCTCGGCGCCCGCATCCCCGGGCCGCTTACACAGCCGAGCCGGAGCCGCGCGGGGCTCCAAGCGCATCTCCCTCGGCGCCCCGAGCTCCAGCCGGGAGGTGCGGGGAACCGGGGAGAGGGCGCTCGGCCCTTCCCCGCCCGCACACCGCGGTCACACAGGCGGAGGGGGAGCGGGGAGGAGGAGGCCGACGTGGGGAAGGCCGGCGGGAGGAGGCCGGCGATCCCGCGGGGCGCGCAGCCTCGCCCGCATCCGCTACACCTGTGCAGGAATCCGCGCGCGCCCCGCCGCGGAGCGAGCCGTGACCTCTTTACATAAGCCCGGCCCGGCTGCGGGTGGGGGAGGGCGGGGAGGGGCGGGGGTCGGGAGGGGGGCAGGCCCGGCGGCAGGGGAGGCTCACCTGTCGTCTACAGAGCCTGGGAAGCGGGGAGGGAGGAGGCACTAAGCCAAGTACCCAGATGATGGGGACCAGACTCCCTCCGGTGTGGGGGCCGGCGTTTGCTAGTGTTTGTTTGGGGTGAGGAGGCGGAGAGTCCAATTACTCAGTTTGTCTACAGTACACAGACCCAGTTCGTGACAATCTGCCTCTGCTTTGGCAAGGTCGATCCTCCCCAAAGGTTTAACCTCGAGGAAGCAATTTAGGTGGGAGTGACCCATGCAGACCCACACTGTGCCCCCCCCCCCCCAGCCTGCAGGTGTCTGCCTCACTTCTGCCTGTCCCCCAATAGGCACAGCCATGGCTGGGTCTATGTACAATTCACAAATGCCCAGATACAAACGTGGACGCACAACCAGGGACACCAACATAGGTGAACATCACCACCTTGGCACACCTCAGGAGGTACAAACCTGCTTGGCTGATCTCCATCTGGACTCCAACCCACGGGGCTAGACAGGATAGAGTCTTCAACCCACTTTCCAATAATAGCCTTTGCAAGACTGTAGGCCTTAGTAACACAGGTGCGGGCAGCAGCGGACCACCGTCCTACAAGGCTCATGGGAATCTCCTCTAGTTCAGCCCCACCTGGAAACACCCAGGCCTGAGTGCCCAGCAGACCTGGGTTGAAATCTTGGCTTTGAGAACTATTTAGCTATGCTGAGCATCAGTTTTCTTACATATGTTATTTCCTGCTAGCTTTATTATTTAGAGATAGACCGTAGATTTGCATGTGGTTGTAAGAAAGACTTCTTTATCTAGTTTTCCCCAACAGTAACATGTTGGGAAACTCAAGTACAATTGTACAACCGGCCTATTGAAGTCAATCAGTCCAAGCAGAGAGCATTTTCATCCCACAAACATCCTTCCATCGCCCTTCCATCTGGGGCCCACTTCCCCCATCTCCTTCCTCCCCAATCCCTGGCAACCGGTGCTGGGTTCCCCACTTTCAGAAACTCCTCACTTTAAGACAGACAAGCTGGCAAACTGCTGGCTCACACCTGTAATCCTAGCTACTCATGAGGCTGAGAGCTGGGGATCACACAGTTCAAAGCCACCTGGGGCAGGAAAATACCTGAGTCTCTTATCACCAATTAACCAGCAAAAAGCTGGGAGTGAAGGTATAGTTCAAGTGACAGAGTGTCAGCCTTGGGTAAAAAAGCCAAGGGAGAGTAGGAGGCTCTGAATTCAAGCCCTAGTACTGGTACACACACACACACAGGCACACACAGGCACACACAGGCACACACACACACACACACAACTTGTTAGACAAATAGAATCATACATTATGGAACTTTTGGGGTGCCCCTCCACTGCATGTAACTCCCTGTAGATCCATTGTGGCTGTTGTATATATCAATTTGTCATCTCCTTTTATTTCTTTGGAGCATTCGGCGGTGTGCTTGTATTTGTGTAGGTTTTTGTGACAATAAATGAGATGGAATTTATCAAGTGTGCACACTTGACACCCAGGGCCTAATAGATTTCCGTGAATACAGTTATCACTCCTAGACTTCTTATGAGATGCAGAAGCTGTGCTTCACAGCAAGCCATGTTAGTATGATGAGCTCTTGGCCTAACCACTTCAGGTTTTTTGTGTGTTTGTTTGTTTGAGTTTAAGGTTCTCATCCATGCAAAATGAGTACCATCACAACCTCTACAGAAGAAGGCTGTGTTCTGTTTTCTGTTCAGTAAGTACTCATAAATTGCAAGAGGATATGGTCTGAATTCATGAAGTTTCTTAAGAATCACCACTAAATACTCCCTTCCTTCCTTAGCAGGGGTGGGAGGAAGAAAGAGTGTGAATTTGCCCAGAGGAACAGTAAACAGATCTTTAGCTTTTTCTTTCTTTTTGTGCCAGTCCCAATGCTTGAACTCAGAGTCTGGGAGCTTTTGTGCTCAAGGCTAGTGCTCTACCACTTCAGCCACAGCTCCACTTCCAGCTTTTTGGTGATTAATTGACAATAAGAGTCTCACAGGGGGCTGGGAAGATGGCTCAGTGGTAGAGCGCTTGCCTTGCATGCCTGAGGCCCTGGGTTGGATTCCTCAGCACCACATAAGCAAAATGAAAAAAGCTGGAAGTGGCGCTGTGGCTCAAGTGGTAGAGCTCTAGCCTTGAGCTGAAGAGCTAAGGGACAGTGCCCAAGCCCAGAGTTCAGGCCCCACGACCGGACCCCAAAAAACAACAACAACAACAATAAAAAAGAGTCTCACAGACTTTCTTGCCTGAGCAGGCTTTGAACTGTGATCCTCAGAACTCAGCCTCCTGAGTAGCTAGGATGACAGGTGTGAACCACTGGCACCCAACCAGATCCTTATCTTAACCTGACTGACTTGCACAAACCAGCACTCAGTGGTAGACTGAAAAGGTTTGTTGGACTGTGTCTTTAGCCTTGTTTCCCTACTGAGTTGTCCCCTCGGAACAATGAGGCCACTCCTCTTGTATCCCCACTCAGCTGCTAGCGGATGTGTGGCATTCTACTCTGGAGTTTGTGTCACCTTGGGACGAACTCAGCCTTTTCGCATCTATTTCTCATAATCTCTGAACAGTTCTGGCAGTGGTGGCCAGCGTGGGTGCCAATGCCCAAGTCTTACAAAGGAGCCTGAAATTCAGTGAGGTTGTGGATTCTAGTCCAGTTTCCCTTCAATTCGTCACGATGAAATCATGAACGAACAAATGGTTCATTAAAGAAGCCAACACTTTACATTCTCATCTGGCTTCTGGCTTCTGAATTTTTGTCCAACAGCACGTAAAGATAGAAACTGATTTTCAAAAAAAAGAAAAGAAAAAGAAAAAAGGGATTCCGGCAACAACTCAATATCTGTGCCTGAAATCGAGTCCACAACAGGCCTCTAATGCCCAGGCACCACCCAGACCAAGGGATGGAAGGATCTAGAGCCTCGGGCCTTTGGAAAAGTACTAAGAACAAGGTACCTTCCGGGCTATGGCCTAATTGCAAATTCTGGAAGTCCTGGCTTGTGTCCATTTCCCCAGCCCTTTCCCCCATGGCTCCTCCCTCCTAGCCAGGTGACATCCTTTAGTCCTTACATCGAGTGCACATTAAAGAAGCTTGTAACCTAGCAACCACCACTTAAGATTCCCTGAGTCACCTGCAGTTTCCATGTCTGGACTGGGTGTGCACCAAGCTGGGGCCTGCCGGAGTGCCACGCTGAAGGGGAGTCCAGTGCCACTCCATGCTGGTGTGGAATGCTTTTCTGGTGGGGAAGTTCTGTCAAATCGAAATCCTTCTTGATCTAAGATCTTGGATGGCGTGGGGCTTGGGTCTCTCTCTCTTAAAAAGTGTTTGATGGAGGTGGAGAGCATCACTCAGTGATATAGTGTGTAGCCCCTAGATTAGCAAGTGTAGCCCCTAGATTTGATCCCAGCACCAGAACAAACAGACATAGTGTTTGACTTTTTGCTTTGGGGAGATGGAAAGACAAAAGGTCAGAAAGATCCTGAGAGCTCTTAAACATTCAGGTGCTGTGGAATTACTGTGGTGACACAAAGTTACCCAACTTTCTTCTTTAAGTTGTACCTTAGATGTGTTGAAGCCTAATTCACGCACAAGAAAATGAAGTTTTCTCCACATGTACGGAGTGTCTGTTAGGTATTCCTCAGGATCCTGCCTTCATGAGTTCTGAGGTAGGTTATAGTGGGGGACAGGGGGGCCGGGAAAGGACCATTTAGAACAACAAGCAGCTTCTCAGTGTGGCAGGCTCCTAATGGGGCATGTAGGGTGGATGTTGAGGGGCTGGTAGATTCCACATCCTAGGTCTCCCCTGCAGGCTGCCACACTGGCTAGAGAAACACCAGAGAGCTCCCCAGGCCAGGTTTGCCTTCTCTGTGTAGCTCTTTCTGAGTGCTCTGTAGATCATAAGACAGCAGGAAATTGTGTGGACTCTGGACTCAGACAAACTGGGTCTGAATCCTGGCTGTGTCACCTCTAGCTAAGTGACCATGAACTAGACTAGGACTTGAACTCAGCACCTGACACTTTCACTTATTGGCTGGCACGTTACCAACTGAGCCACGCCTTCAGCCCCTTGTCCCTGAATCTCTAAGAAGGGGAATGACAATCTTTCTGAGGAGTGGG